GTGATGGGGGGCTGGCTGTGCTGTGTATACATGGTATAGCAGTGTGTGATGGGGAGGCTGGCTGTGCTGTGTATACATGGTATAGCAGTGTGTGTGTGATGGGGAGGCTGACTGTGCTGTGTATTCATGGTATAGCAGTGTGTGTGATGGCTGGGTGCTATGTATTCATGGTATAGCAGTGTGTGTGATGGCTGGGTGCTGTGTATTCATGGTATAGCAGTGTGTGTGATGGCTGGGTGCTGTGTATTCATGGTATAGCAGTGTGTGTGATGGGGAGGCTGGCTGTGCTGTGTATTCATGGTATAGCAGTGTGTGTGATGGCTGGGTGCTGTGTATTCATGGTATAGCAGTGTGTGTGATGGCTAGGTGCTGTGTATTCATGGTATTCCAGTCAGTAGTAGATTTACTCTGCTCTTGTTTTAATCCGGTTATCTCTCTCGCAGGTCATTCTTTAAAATGTTATACATGCACTGAAGATATTTGCACAGTATCAACATGTTATTCCGGACAGGCCTGTGGGACAACAATTATGGGTAGTGGTACGTAGCCATGAGAAGGAGAAATCCTGTTTGTCCTAAATATTTTCCTCCCTAACACGGAGAAATACCTATGTAACGAACACTCGTATGACAGGTACCCGTTCTCCTATTATTTCCCGAACTCCTAGAGCCTGAGTGATTATAGTTCGCAGTTAGGGTGTTGGTTTGAACGCTTCTCCAGACAAATTACAGCTTCCAAGTATAGTCTCCCAGCAAGGTAGACAGGTACCCAAACATCAGTCAAAACTAGATGAAGAGTGTAACAGGAACCCTTTATTCAGGCTAACCACCTGGCTTTTATGCAGTAAACAATGCACAGGGTTTCAGTTAACATATTGCAGGGGAATTCCCCACTGGACCTGAGAGGGGACAGTGACAAAATACATTTTGCAAATCTACTGGCTCTCAGGTCCAGGACACTCCTACATGCAGTAATATAATCTTCCCCTGTACTGGGGAGATAATCGAGTCAAGCAATTTACTAAACTCAATTATCTCCCAACACAAAAAAAACATACATTTCCCTAAAACTTAAAAGTACCCCAAACTCCATGGGAAACCCGCAGATAGCCCCGATCTGTGGAACGAACATATTCAAAAATCACCCAGATTGGTTCAGGGGTTTAAAAGTTACATGGAGGTCTTAATTTGACCGACTGCACACAAGGCTCCTGCCCAGAAATAGTTCCATGAAATTGAGCTGTGCGGTCAGTCTATTTCGACAAGTACAAAAACCGAATAAATCAACGAACGGGTCACCTGGCTCATAGGTAGAGTTTGTTCCCTTAAATCTACTGAATAGCACTCTCCTGGCTGGTCTGTGTAGTTTGACCAGCGTTTGGGATGTCAAGTGTCTGATTTTGGTTCCAGACACTCGACAACCAAGTACCGCTGCCTCCTTCTGTGCGAAAACATGGGCACCGTTTTCTCTTGCACATGGCGTTCGACTATATGAACAGCGGCCACCCAGGGAGATTGATGATGTAAATGAGGTCGTCGGTGTTCGGTAGTTTTATCTGCAGAACAGGGAAACAACAAAAAGTCGAATTAACAGGGGTAGTTTCTTCACAACCTACATTACTGAATTCTTGCATTAATGTGTCCACAGAAATATTTTTGCATTTGTATTTCATTCTTGGGGTTTCCTTGTTTCCAATGACCAATCAGAACTGTTTTATGCAGCACAGTTTGCAATGCTCTAGGGCCGGATTTACACGTCAGGTGTCTGCAGGCACCCCCTGCTCCCGCAGTAAAAGGAAAATACTGGTAAAGTGAGTTTCAAGAATTCATAAACTGGACATTGCAGAAATAAGAATGTCTGGAAACATATATTCATAGCTGACACTTAAAGGACCACTATAGTGCCAGGAAAACAAACTAGTTTTCCTGGCACTATAGTGTCCTGAGGGTGCCCCCACCCTCATGGCCCCCCTCCCGCCGGGCTGAAGTTGGAGGAAGGAGTTAAACACTTACCTTTCTCCAGCGCCTCCAGGGCTCTTTCGGCGCTGGGGACTCTCCTCCCCCTTTGGACGTCATCGGCTGAATGCGCATGTGCGGCACGAGCCGTGCGTGCATTCAGTCAGTCCATAGGAAAGCATTCTCAATGCTTTCCTATGGACGCTGGCTTCTCCCCCCCGGCCCTCACCCCTGAGTGGCGGGTGGGGACCCTAAATAAAAATGTAAACCCCCACCAGGTGACTAGGGGTCCTCCCAACAAAATTAAGTAACTCCTACCTACCCCCCTCACCTTAAAAATAGTGAGGGGTGACCAATAACTAGGTTCCTGTAAAAAAACAAATAAAACTTACCATTTGATGACTTCTTTTTTCTAAAATCTTCTATTTTCAGCCACAATGGATGGATAAAAATCCATAATAACTGTCGCACATTGAAAAAAAAAACCTGAGCGCAAAAAAAGTAATCCATCTTCACCCATGGAGGGCACCACGCAGACTGAGCTCTGCAGGGTGGGGGAGGCTTATAAAGTAGCCTTAAAAGAAGAAAGGCTACCACAACAAGAGGACAGAGTCTTAAATTAGAGGGGCAAAGGTTTAAAAATAATATCAGGAAGTATTACTTTACTGAGAGCGTAGTGGATGCATGGAATAGCCTTCCAGCTGAAGTGGTAGAGGTTAACACAGTAAAGGAGTTTAAGCATGCGTGGGATAGGCATAAGGCTATCCTAACTATAAGATAAGGCTAGGGACTAATGAAATTATTTAGAAAATTGGGCAGACTAGATGGGCCGAATGGTTCTTATCTGCCGTCACATTCTATGTTTCTATATGGAACCAATAAATGAATTAAAACACAGTGCACATGACATCCCTCTTATCAAAATATACTTTGGTGATGTTCTAGGTTTGTCAAGAGAAAAGACTCAATATATCCAAAGTGAGCGGGAATAACGTCTGTTCTTCTTATGTAAAATATGGGACTATGAAAATGAATCACCGATATAATTTCTTGCCCTAATTCGCTGTATTTCTTGCTTTTTTTCTCAGCAACCCTTAAGTCATGTCTCCCGACTCAAGTCTGCGGTACTACAGTTGGGAGTATAAGAAATGACTGTTGTTCCACTGACCTCTGCAACTCTGCAGCCGGCTCTGTCGGGGTGTCCTTTGTCACGGTTGCGGTTTGTCTGGTGGTCCTGTGGGTGACTAAGCTGTGATCTACATAACGAATATCTCAAGCAGCTTCATAATGGAACATCTGATACATAAGAAACAAGAGTCTCAAAACTACAGGCCCATTGCTAGTCATTTAACTATATACAACTATTTATATAGCTCCAACATATTCAGGAGGCCTGTACAATATGTAAAAGAAGACAAACATTTAATTTAACAAGCAAAATATGTCTGACATGTGGGAATATGGGACAAACGAGCCAGTAGACCATTTGTCCCAATCTCGGATACTTTGTGGTATGACTCCAATCACGGTTCGTTCCAGGGGGGAATAAAATAAAACCAGACCACAGATTGCAAGCAGAGGTTAACCCTTTTGGGTGGCTCTGTTTATTAATCTGTAATAAAACTCATCTAACTAAAACCAGAAATCAGTTTGGAAGAGTGAGCCCTGAGCATTGAACAAAGACTTATATATCTACTGAAAATGCAGAATTAATGTATAATATTTATTAACCTAATTGATAAGGATGGTATAAAATTGCCAGATTTAACATAACAAAGTAGATAGGATAATTAGCTAAATAACAGCCATAACAAGGCCAGAACATTTATTATCTGACTCTTGCCACATATTTTGATTGACCATAGCATACTTGTTAGCAAAATGGCATTTACATTGTTGGTTAGCAGTAGACATGTGCATTCGGATTCCTTAGACTGACAAAATGACTGAAAATTTTGATTAGTCAGAAAAAGAATACAAAGTTACCAATGACAGAATAGCTTGTTTTTATATACGTTTTACAATGTTCTATTGGAAAAACCTATGACCCTTTTTCCTTTTCATTCTGCACCCTTTCCCCTTGTTGTTGTTCCAAAGTTTTTTGAAATAGTTGAATAAAAAACCATTTGAAAAGAACGGCTTACAGACTGAACTTATTTGGTCCTTAGAGCAAGCAGCTATTTATACCTCTCCTTTACAGCGACGCCATGGTGCGAGCAGGGGCATGTCTGCTATTACTTCCCATTGTCTAGAAAGATAAACTAGCCTGTGCCCCCGATTTAAAGAACTGGAGGAGGACAGATCACTGTAAACCCTGGGTACCGCCACATTGGGGCTTAAAAATTTAAAAATAAATCAAAATAAAACTCATAAAATAAAGTGTAAGGGTGGCCTGGTAATCCCTCTGTGCATCCATGGTGGGTCTCTATATAAACATGATATGGAGTGTATATAGTGTCCCCCCCTCCCCCTGTGCAATGGCTGCCCAGTCACTAGTTTTTACGTTTCGTAGAGGTGGGGGAATGACATGTGTAGGCATGAGGGAGGTCTATAGCCGTTATTGTACCAATACGCTGTCCAGCCTTCACATGATTAACCCACAAAGGGCTATTAACTATTTACTAGCTAGCTTCTAGTGATTAACATTAAATGAACAAATATATCAGAGAACTTCAGGCAGGGCGAGTGCAAGGATTTTTGCCAATCCCCCCCATGTGTTCTGTCCACCATGTGACATCACAATGCCCCACCCATATGATCTGCCATATGGGCCAACGCCAGTGCTGCACACAGTGTCTTTTCTCTGATAAGGCAGTGTGTTTACATTAAAAAGCCTGCAGGGACAGGCTATAGACACCAGCAACACTACATTATACTGTAGAGGGTTCTGGTGACTATAGTGGCCCTCTAATGTGAGGTAAATTAGGGATTAGTTCCACTAATAATATACTGGATTGCCTACTTACCACCAGATGAGGACAAGAGGATGATGATGGGCTCAGGCTACAGGCTGGCTCCACTGATCTGGTGTAGAAGAGGCTCTCTGGAGACTGTTTGTAACAGTGCTCACAAAAACCAACGAAAAGGAAGCAGCTCAATTTTATAGGGCCCTTTACACAGCTCAAGGTTTGGGCCCCCAGGGCGTAATCGGTAGTATGCCTACAAGGCCCGTCCATAAGTCTGCCTACATGGCCCCATAAGACCACCTACATGGCCCACCCATAGGTCCACCTACATGCTCCACCCATGAGTTCGCTCACAGGAAGTGGTGTGTAGGGGATGTGTTATTGTAGAGCAGTGATGGCGAAGCCTTTTGAGCCCGAGTGCCCAAACCACAATGCATGCCAACCTTTTTTTCCTCAAAGTGCCAACACAGCAATTAAACCTAAATACTGAGGTTTAAGTTTAGAAAAAAACAACTTGTACAGTTGTCCGAACTAATTAACACCTTTTGTTTTAAATAAAGAACACAACAACAGCGAGTTCAATGATACAAATGATTAATAATTATATAAATTACAGATAATATTAAGCTTATATTTATTAGTATCGTCAACAAATGCAATACATACACACAGACTGCTGAATACAGTCTCAGACTGCTGAACACATTCACACACCGACTGCTGAATACATACACACACACACCGACACACCGACACACAGTCTGCTGAATACACACACACACACACACCATAGACGTGCGCACCCTATTACATAAGGGTGTGCACCCTAAAGCACAAACACACATGCCGTGTGTATATGTATGTGTGTATTTATGTGTATATATATATATATATATATATATATATATATATATATCTCCAACAAATAAGGTAACAGGGCACTCCTCCCTTGCAAAATATTGAAAATGAGAAAATAAATGCCTAGGTGCCAATCCCGCGTTATATACACTAAAAAACATATAGAGGGAGCACACTAGGTCTTCAGTGCAAAAAGATAAAGTTAACAGAGAGGAAAAAAAGGGGGAAAAAAGAATAACCGACTTATCAATCTATCCTGTAAGGAGTATATAAAAACCAGAGAGCATCAGAACTACCACCAGTATACTATTTAAAGAA